GATCCTCAGATGGATCAAGCGCGACGAGGACGTCGCGAGTCTAACGGGGGGTGATTGTAATACCCCAGACCAAGAAAGTTTAAGAGATTTGATAGGTACTACTCATACCACAAGGTGCACCTTCTTTTCCGGAAGTCCATCGTTGGAAACTCCACAGTTAAGCGTGCTTGGCTTGAAGCAATTCTATGATGGGTGACCCCTCGGGAAGTTTTCTTGGAAAGCGTGCGAGTGAGGACAAAGCATGCTGAAAAGACCCATGTTGGTACAGTGAGGACAGTACGTCGTCGATCTAACGGCCAGGACAGCCCGTTAAGTGGGACCCGTGTCGTTACAGTTTGATGCAAGGACTTGATGCATTGACGTGTATCTCTGTAAACGTTAGCATTTCGTCCCAATGGGAGCTTTTTGCAAAAATGGAACAATAATTAAGGGAATTCATATTGAACTGTCCTTCCCTGTATTCTTTCTGTATCCATATGCACTTGCAAAGATGTATCTTTTGCTTGTGGTGGGGCAAAAGCAGTTACCCTACTCCTGGAAGCTACGCCTTTTATCTCTTTACTCTCTCTCTCTCTCTCTGCCACTCACACACAAAATGCCTCTTTGTTCCTTTTGTCTATTTCTATGTACTCTTATGTGGTTATTTGACTCTAATGTCGGTTGATTAAGTCCTCATCATATAGTTAGTCTGTGTAACATCAGATGTAGTCTATTTACATGGTGCCTATGTTTCCTTGACCATGGACGTGTTATTATCCCTATTGTGCACTGTTCTGGTTGGTTTTGCACAATGATTATTTATTCCATGTTTGCATATTTCAGTCCACAACTGAATTTTGTTTCCAATTTCACAATTCTTATGCACTTCACCGCTGCTTTCATTTGAACTGTTGTTTCAGAATGCAACCTGTGCTATAGGTATCTTGCTCACCATCACGTGTTTATTGCATGCAGCTTTCCTTCCAGATGTGGTCCAATCAGATGCAGGAAACATTGAACTCAAAGAAAAAGGGCGACGTGGCTTTCCGGCATAAAGATTTTGGGGCTGCAATTGAATGTTACACTCAGGTTAGAACTGTAAATAGAATTCATTGAAATGGAGACGACATAAGCCTTTAAGTGATTTTTGTTGTTTGGCTTTTGCTGAACCGGCTATGTACCGAGCAAAGTTGAAGACGAACTTTAGAAAAATAAATGCATACCCTCTCTAACAGCTTAAGCTTTTAGCTAGGTGGTTCAACTTGATTTCAGATTAGACAAAGGTCCAAAGTTCAAGTCTCACTGCCACGCATTCTTTAAATTTGTCCGGTTTCAAGCCTCGAGTGAAATCGAGCCTCAACTTGATTTCAGATTAGAAAAATAAAAGCATCATTTGATCTCTTTTGTTCTTTTAGTTTCTTTGTTGGTGGTACTCTTGCTGCTACTAATCTATTCATTTGAAGTATTTGTAGCGCAGACTACATATTCTTTTTGAAGATTATCAGTTGTCTAACAATGGCAGCTCTTTTGTAATTATTCTTGCAGTTTATTGATGTTGGAAAAATGGTCTCGCCAACTGTTTTTGCACGCCGCAGTTTATCGTATCTCATGAGTGATATGCCACAGGAAGCCCTCAATGACGCAATACAAGCACAAGTCATTTCTCCCATTTGGCATATAGCTTCATATCTACAAGCTGCTGCTCTTTTCACTCTCGGGAAGGAGAATGAGGCACAAATCGCAGTCAAAGAGGGTTCAATACTTGAAGACAAGAGGAAAACAACTTCCAGAAATTAGAGGGGATTGTACCAGCAATTTTCCCTGATACTGTTATAAATCGCAAGCCTCTTAGTTTCTGGACTGAGTATATAAAATTCTCTTCGACTATGTGAGCAACGTATAAAAGAACATTCTGCATCATTTACATCCATGACCAGTTGTTTCGGCTGAAGGATTCTATTGCAACATCATTGGGCTGGTTGTTTCCCTTCGGCTTGGTCTGGTAGTCAAGGTTCCCTCGTGGACAGTTGTCTGACCTTTTCAAATAACGAACTCTAGGGGATAATTTGATGCCATTCGTGTGGATTACATGTTGATAAAGGATTGATCTTCGAGTTGGAAAGGGTTTCGAGAGACTTACCGTGCCATTATTTATGTAAAGTGCTACATGGCTTGGTCATCTGAGATTGGCTTTTTTCTTGGATTTGGTTGCCTTATTACTCATTTCTTGTTTGTGGGTTTATTGTGGGGATCATTTATTTATATGGCAAAAATATTCATGTAGTCGAGTTTCTTGAAAATGAAACTTAATTATGAGAGTTCTTTGGATAAATATTCTATGCGACTTGTCATCATTCTCATCCATGGATCATTTTATGGGATTTAACAACATTTTGGACTTAAAAGTCTTCATTTTTCATTAAATTTAAGCTTTGACTACACAAATCTTTTTCTACAGCTCCAGGCGACTCATGGCTAGAAAGGTCATTATATTAAACTCAAGATGCCATACTTACAGAGTGGCTCAAAGAGTGTGAACGTACGATGAACAGAAATACAAACATATACAAATTATATTCAACCATTGAAAACAATACAATAATACTCAATCAAAAGAAAACATTAAGAACATCAAAACACAATGTATCAAACAATTGACTCCACTCCTAATGGTCCAAATCCTCCTCTTCATCAAATTCTTCTTCATTATCAGCAGCTGCATCCTGATATTGCTGATATTCTGAAACCAAATCATTCATATTACTTTCAGCCTCAGTAAATTCCATTTCATCCATTCCCTCTCCAGTATACCAATGCAAGAAAGCCTTGCGCCTAAACATGAGTGTGAACTGCTCGGAAACACGCCTAAACATCTCTTGGATCGACGTAGAATTCCCAACAAATGTCGATGACATAGAAAGCCCTGTTGGTGGAATGTCACAAACGCTCGACTTAACGTTGTTTGGTATCCACTCAACAAAGTATGAGGAGTTCTTGTTTTGTACATTGATCATTTGCTCATCAACCTCTTTCGTGCTCATTTTGCCGCGGAACATGGCCGAGGCAGTTAGGTATCGGCCATGGCGTGGATCGGCTGCGCACATCATGTTCTTGGCATCCCACATTTGTTGAGTGAGTTCCGGGATGGTGAGGGCTCGGTATTGTTGCGATCCACGTGAAGTCAATGGTGCAAAACCGACCATGAAGAAGTGTAGACGGGGGAATGGGATTAGGTTTACGGCCAATTTTCTGAGGTCAGAGTTCAATTGGCCGGGGAAGCGAAGACAACATGTTACTCCACTCATAGTTGTTGAAATCAAATGATTCAGATCACCAACTGCAACCATAGATAAGTTCAATTAGTCATAGCTAATATTCTAGTCATAAGAGTTGTAACTAACATAAATTGCACATACACTGCACTCGACAAGATTGGACGAGACTAAACAGGACGACTAATTGTAACTTACAGCTTGGATTTGTGAGCTTGAGTGTGCGGAAGCAAATGTCATACAGAGCTTCATTGTCAAGAACCATACACTCGTCAGCATTTTCAACTAGTTGGTGAACCGAGAGGGTGGCGTTGTAGGGTTCGACCACCGTATCAGAAACCTTGGGCGATGGAAACACCGAGAAAGTCATCATCATCCTATCAGGATACTCTTCCCTGATCTTGGATATGAGCAGTGTCCCCATCCCCGAACCTGTTCCCCCTCCAAGTGAATGGCAAATTTGAAATCCTGTCACACAATGAAACAGTCCGATCGATACATAAAATGAAAATCTCGCAACAAATAGAGGAATCAACGGGGCAGTGCAAAATTTTTTAGGTACACGGTACTAGACTGACTAAACATGATTAGGGATAAAATTTTAGCTGCTTTTTCTTCTTTAATACTATCTATCCACCTTACTAAACACACTAAAAATGAAAAATCTTGGAACAAATTTTGGACTAACACAAGTATTTTAGCATTGGGATTTCATCCAAAGTAACCCGCAAAAACAAACATTATCAAGAAAAGCTACACTAACAGAATTAATAACGTGTTTGACTCAGCCTAAAACTTTTTCTGCTTTTTGGCAGTGGGTGTCTAGCGAGCTTTTGAGCCGGGCCAAACGTGCCCATACCTTGTAAGCAGTCACAATTCTCTGCTTCTTTGCGAACAACATCAAGAACAGAGTCAATCAATTCAGCTCCTTCAGTGTAATGCCCTTTAGCCCAATTATTTCCAGCACCATTTTGCCCAAAAACAAAATTATCAGGCCTAAAAATTTGCCCATATGGACCAGTTCTTAAACTGTCCATGGTTCCAGGTTCAAGATCCATAAGCACAGCCCTAGGAACATACCTCCCACCACTTGCTTCATTGTAATAAACATTTAGCCTCTCAAGTTGAACCCTAGAATTTCCCACATAATTTCCTGTAGGACCAATTCCATGTTCACCACAAACAACTTCCCAGAACTTGCCCCCAATTTGGTTTCCACATTGCCCAGCTTGAATGTGAAGAATTTCTCTCATTTTTTCTTGAACCAAAGTTTAAGGAAATGGGATTTCAAGAATTTAGAACTTTGATGGAGCAATGAGTGAAGGGAGAGGGCATGGAGGAATGAATTAAAACAGGGTTTTTGTAGTGAAGATTGGATGGATATTATGTGATTAAGACATTGACATTTTATTGGGGGTTTTGGTGCATGTTCAGTTGGTAATACTCCATCGACAGAACTTGAGAGCAAGATTCTAACTTAATTAATATTGTCCAGTTGAATACTCATACCAAACGTACAAGATAACAATAATGGAGAAATACAATCAATAATTTTTCATGTGGGCGTGGATTTGCAGAAAATGTCAAAGATCAAACAGGAATTGTGAGCTGGGAATGAAAGGAGACAAGACAGCCCGTTTCCATGCACTATCATGTGGCTTCATACGTCCCAAATTACAGTTCTATCCTTTGCAATATTTTTTGTATCTTTACTCATTTAGAGAAGTCAAGCCATCCTGAATTTTACCATGTTCTTGATACTTGTTTTGAGGTTTAAAGGAATTTGTTTAAGAAAAGTTGGAGAGAGAAGAAAAAATAACAATGTTTAGTAATTTTCTTTGGAACGACTTTTTTAGCTTTATGAATTAAGCTAGATGTACATTATAACTTACACCTTAGATGACATTTCTTCCTATATGGAAGAAATGCAGTGATGTGATGGATGTGTTGACACACAAAATATTCAGCTCAACTCAAATGGCCCAAGAGAGGAAATGGCCCATTTAGAGAGATCATGGTGAAAGCCCAACCAGAAATATTTAAACATGATAAAAGCCCAAAAAACAAAGGAACGTTGTCGCCCAAACCTGCAGAACGC